GAGAGGAAATAGTTAGTAGTCCTCTCCTAATGTTTTACGTTGTCCTGACCAGCAGATTAGCAACAAATAAGGTTTACCTGTACATATATTTCCATTCCCAATAAATCCGCTTTTACAGGAACAGCTGTAGGAGACGTTAGTGTTGTGGCAGTCTGCATTAACGTCGCAAGGCCGAATGGAAGTACTGCACTCGTCAATATCTGAAGAAAAAATGAATTTAACCTTTGGGTAAATTAACAGGAGAATTTGGAAATATACCATAACAGCAGGTTAACGGTAAACAACTAAAACTTGGGGCATTCTCCTGTTAGTGAAGAGAATTATACCGTCAGTTAGATTTGAAACAGTCTTGTAAATGTACACTTAATTGTGTCTTACCCATTTCAAAATGTTCCCCAGTGTATCCTCTCGCGCAAACACACACGTAAATGTTCTTCTCGTACTGTGGAGCGCATTTCCCATTGTTCTGACAAGGCCAACTGATACATGGAGACTAAAGAAAACATATAACTGAGAAATACATCGGAAGATGTGACATTCGCTCGCCAATCGTAGTAAATATCATCATAGGCTGTGTTCACAAATGAAGTCAGTATCTTTAATTTAATCTCCCCCGCTAATACCAAAAATCCTTTATAACTTATAACAATGAGAAAGAAACGCTGAAGATGCGGCATTCGCTGAACAATCATAGTGAATATGAGTCGTCTTTACAAATGGAGTCAGTATCTCTAAATTAACCTTCCCCGCTAATACCAAAAATCATTTTTTAGTCTTTTCTCAAATAACTCCTCTCCTTACTTCTGCGATCAACCCCTCTCCGTACGCATTCAAACGCGTGTAATTCATCTTCTCTTCCTTTAAAAAAAAAAAAACAGAGTGAACAGTTTTCATTTACAACTTACTGCGATACTATAGTGATGGTGACTCTGATTAAGGATAAGCTTGTCTGAGTTGTTGTAGATATCCGAAGGAAGCAATTCACATAGAACTTTGCCATTGATATAAAATGCAGCCAGGTTAAAAGAGAAACATGGAAGAATACTGACACAAGAAAATCGAAATTCACTGCCTTTCAGAACATGATCCATACCAATAGCAATGATGTTGAGGTAGGAAATCTTATGAGGCTTAAATTTGGCATAAGCTACTCCTTTTTCTGTGCTTCGGCTGAAAGGTTTACCTCATACATTAATGACTTTTGTTTCTAGGAATAAAGAAAGGAAAGAAAAATATTTCTTAAAAGTATTCTGCTTATGACCAATATTTATTTAGAATTTAGTCTAGAACGCTTTATCTAGCATGAAAAGCTCGCGCGAAAAACCTATTTCACTTTTACATGAAAGTAGTTCCTTGAAAGTGTGGAGAGTCCAAACTGCAAGTTCAGGCAAATTTATGTTCTGGTTTCACCATGCGACCAAAATTTCAGCAGTTCTCTTGTTCTTGAATTAAGTAATTTTCACTGCATTTTTTTAGGGAACTTGCCTAAATGTATAAGATATGATACAATTGTAAGGGCTAATTACTAGTTGTTCTATGAGATCATGTAGCAATTGATAACCTGTCGTAAATGTACATATACCCAGACTGCAATTTTTCTATCAGTTCAGATAGCAATAAACATGAAGTCCACTTTCAATGACAACTTTGAATCATTGATTAGTTGGTGAATAGGATATCAATTTCTTTTTTAATCTCAGTTCTCAAACTTCTCAAGATTTCAAATTTAACAACATACTAAACAAAGCCGAATTTCATTGCATCAAGCTTACTTTCTGCGTTATTCTGTGAACTGAAACATCCGATATCATTCGTAACTTTCGACAAACAAACAGTTCGTGTTAGCAACTTTTCTCGAAAAGATGTCTTTTGGACTCCTTATGAGACCAACGTCAATGTTAACAGTTATTCAGCAAAAAGGATGATTCAAAACCTATTCATCGTCGTGAATGACTTAACTTTATGAGTATTCCGTGATATACTCCTCACTTTATTTTCAGTAGACGTTGACTTCCTTCCGCACCATCTGTCTCTTCCTTCCTCTCTTTGTCAGGACGAAACTGTCCAAGAACATTTCAAGAACATGCAACTTTGAAACAGATGAATGGATAATCGAAATTTTTTACTGTTTTGTTGACGGAACTGGAAACGAACTCATGATTACAAACATTGATTTAGTTCAAGATGAAGGACATTGATTGGCATTTGAGATTACTAGACGTTTTCCTGTCAGTTACACGTTGTCGGGTTTCAATCAGAAGTAATTTGCTAACCGGTATTGTTCACCAGGAAAAGAGACTCAACTAACCAGTTTAAGGCTAACCCTTTTAAGTTACGACCCGCCACAGAAGTGTCTAAATCAGGATAGTCAAATTAGAGTTTCTCATTGAGATATTTTTCAGTGAAATCATTGGTTTTAGAAATTATAAGTAAGTTACGTAACGATGAGTTATATTGCTCTGTTTCAGATCGAATAAGATTGCTTCAGTGGCTACGAGCTAGTATCAATAAACATCAAGTGATTAACTATACGATATGTGGTGGTTGTTGGAATAGGCACTGTATGATTACGTAAAACATTTACCTCATACTCTTCCACCTCTTTTAATTTTTTTCCTCCTCTAATATTTTAACATTATTCCTTGAAACATTTTCTTTATAAATGCTCTCTCCATAAGTGGGTAAAAGATCTTATATAGTACTCCGCTGTATTGTCTGAAAGCTTTAAATACTATACCAGCAAAAATATTAAATTAATTATATAAGTTATAGGAGAGTAATAATCAAATCACCTTCGTCTGCAACAACCCAGCCATGTAACCATTACACTAAAAGCACAGACGTAAAACCGAAGGGAAGAAACGTGAAATGAAGATCTTCCTTTGAAAATACATCAAATACGATTGAAATATCCCTTATAAGAGATACGGCGACAGACTATTCGTCCACTTATGGTTTTAGTTAGTTGCACAACTGAAGGTCGCAGTTGTGGGGTCCTTATTTAACGACCATTGGTAGACCACTGCCCTCATTCGTTTCTGCAATGCAGAGTAGTAAATATTTATTACTATTTGGCTCTTTTAGCATGTAAATTAGTTATTAAATAGCGTGATAGTCCATGCCGCTTAAAATGGAACACTTATCAATAAAAAACCCACGCTCGTGATATCGGTTTGTTTTTCGAAGAAACGGTTAGACGCTATTAGAAATATCAAAGGTTTTGAGAGAGTTAATTCTCTGAATCCTATTCTTCCAAATAACCAGTTCTAAAGGTTGTTAACGACAAAAACCATTACATGTAATGGCTTTTTTTTTCTGACATGTTTCTCGTTTTTGCTAATATTGATGAAATAAGGCAAAGTGTTCTCCTTAAGTAAAACGTTAAAAAAAGCCCACTTATCGGCAAAAAATACATTGACACAGAATTTGCGCGTTGATCTTTTAATTGATGAACGTAGTAAAGGGTTCTTGGAAAGGAAACTAAGTTTAAACAGGCCCCCTGAATTGATCAATCGGAAACTTGTAATTAGTAGCCTTGTGGAAAGGTTGTATTTTCATCATTTCAGTAAATTGCATGAAGTACGAATTTATCCCCGTAAAACAAGTAGATGGGGAGTAGAAATGAACCAGCAGGTATCTTTACAGCAGGTGAAATGTAAACCTTGATTATATCATTAACTTTTCCTGTGTTTAAAATGCAAGAGTTTCCCTAAACTCCGTTTGAATTTCCTGTTGTGTTCACTTATTTCCGTGGTCTCTTGTTAGTCCATAAGCCTTTGTATGTGGATACCGTAATGATTCGACTAAGCGCCCTTCCTATAAAGGGGCCCCCTCTCTCATAAGCGCCCCCAAGCTCGAATTTTTTTTATCAATAAGCGCCCCTATTCTAATAGGCATCCCTGTTTTGAGTGCAATCTTGTTTTGATAAGCGTCCCAATAGCATAAGCCTCCCTATTGGCGTAATTATTAAAATAAGTTAACCATGAAAAATTTTCTGGTGACCACAAAGAAAATATATTTATAAAAGATAAAATTATTAACTTGGCAAAACTCGTAGGGAGGAAATAGTTATAGCTTAACTAATTAACTGACTCTAAGTGGTGTGACTAACAGATTTAGAACAAATAGGGTTACTCATATATGTTTTTCTACTTTTACAAGAACAGTTGTAGGAGGCATAAGTGTTGTGGCAATTGGCGTTAACGTCACAAGGCCAGAGGGATGCATTGCACTCGTCAATATCTGAAGGAAAATGGAAATTAACCTTTGGATAAATTTACAAGAGAATTTGGAAATCAATGATAACAATAGGAAAGCGGTAAGCAGCTGAAATTTGAGGCGCTAGCTGATTGTGGAGGGGAATTACACCGTCAGTTAAGTATGAAGTAGTCATGTAAATGTACACTAAATTGTGTTTCATCAGTTACACAATGTTCCCATTTGCATGGCTCACGCAAACGCAGACGTAGCTGTATATCCTCTCCTAATGTTTTACATTCTTCTGACTAACAGATCAGCAACAATTAGGGTTTACCTGCACATATTTTTCCATTTCCAATAAATCCGCTTTTACAGGAACAAATGTAGGAGCCGTTAGTGTTGTGGCAGTCTGCATTAATGTCAGAAGGCCGAATGGAAGTACTGCACTCTTCAATATCTGCAAGAGCAAAGACAATATTAACCTTTGGCTAAATTAACAAGAGAGTTTGGAAGTATACAATAACGTCAGGAATGCGGTAAACAGTCATTTTCCGCTCGTGAAAGAGAAATATAATGTTAGAGAGCTAGAAATTAATAATGGCTGGTCGGTTGTGTTCACCTCGCTCTGTGGTATTTTACCTCCTAACTTGTCTGATGGTGTTTTATTTCTCAAGAAAGTTCCAAATACTTTCGGAAGATGGCCACGTTTCGCGTTTGGAAGCTGGTAGGTACGCAACTAAATGAGAGTAAACTTTTCTTCCTCCCGACAAGTCAAGCCACGTCTCGAGCCAGAATCGAAGATGGCGGCAAGTCTACAATTTCTTCTTGCCACATGGCTAATTGTTGTCACTTTAGCCGCACACTTAATTCTCCTGGCAAACCATGTATCACCGAATCTCGTGCCAGCTTTTGCCTCCCCTTACAGTACGAAAGGCTTAAGAATTTATCATCTAAATATGCACAGTTTACGAATCAAACTGGATGAATTACGCCTATTTTTTAATGAGCATGAGCCCTACGTTCTTTCTTTAAACGAAACATGGCTTGATTGTTTTGGAGGGGACTTGGCGGTTTACAATGCCCACCATCTACAGTTCAGCCTCATAGATAGTGAAACTAGTTCAAATATTGAAGCGCTTTGACTTGAACTTACGCCTACTAAAAAAACAAGAAAATGTTGTTCGGCAGCTTATACAGGCCACAAAGTTCGGATGCTTCTGTTTTCTCTGGTGAAATTGAATCGATGTTAACGAACTATTCAAAGGATGACAATGAAGTCACTCTTTTGGGGACCTTAATTGACATGGCTTTGAAATTGTCTGGCTCTCTCCCGAAAGCAAAGAAATTCTTAGTTATCACCAGTACCTTCCATTTGACGCAAATCATTATTTACTGAATGCACGAGAATCACTGAAAATTCCAGAACTACAACTGACTTATTCTTCACTACAAGGCCCAAACTCTATCATTCCTGTGTAATTTCGGTTGGTTTTTCCGAGCACCGCGCCATTTTTGGAATTAGAACGCTTCACAAAATAAAACTCGCTCCACCAAAGACAGTTAAGGTGAGAAACCATATACATTATGACTTGAAATTTTCAGAGCAGACTTGAGTTGTGTTCTTTTGGATGTTGTTGAATTTGGGTCAAATCCAGGTGATGCGTGGAATTCTTTTAAGAATTTCTTTTTATATCATTAGCTGACACTTGAACGCGCCAGTTATCACCCGTCGTGTGCGCGGGAGATCGTTACCATGGATCACACCCACTGTAAAAGATTTGGTGAAAAGGCGCGATTATCATCACAAGAAAGCTATTCATGCTAGCAATGAGCCTCACTGGAGCAGTTACAAAAGGCTGCGAAATGCTGTGTCGATGAAACTTCGTAAAGAAAAAGCAAACTATTATTCAAACGAGTTGAGTGAAAAACAAGACTCACGGGAATTGTGAACTTTAAATGCGCTTTTACCAAACAAAAAAACAACTATTTTTAAATCAGGAACAAGGAACGATGAGAATAATTATCGGCCGATCTCAGTCCCTCCCCAAGTATCAAAGATCCTGGAGGGTGCTATCGAGGTTCAATTCTTGGCTTTTTTAACTGTACATCCACCGATCAGGTCTCCACAAGAAACACTCCACGCACACTGCAGACTTACGTTTATCTCACCGATCTTATTTTGGATCGCATGGATAGACAAATAGTTACCAGCGCATTGTTAATTAATTTGAAAAAAAGCTTTTGACTTAGTAGACCGTGAATGTTTACTCTACAAGTTAGAACACTACGGAGTCAGAGGAAGCACTCTGGATTGGTTCCGGGACTATCTTACGACACGAACACAAAGGGTACATTTTAGAAAGGACTTGTTCTCCAACCAAGCTATCAAATTTGGTGTTACGCAGAGCTCAATTCTAGGGCCTCTTCTTTTTGTTTATACCTAAATGACCTGCCCCAGTGCTCAGGAAACTGTTTCAGTAATATGTATGCGGATGACACTGTGGAATACTCCACGATTCCTTGCACTTCGGAGATAAATCAGGTAGTACAGGATGATTTAAATCGAGTAGCGCAATGGATGGAAAGTAACAAGCCTATCTTAAATCAGAGTAAGTCGACAAAATCTTGCCAAATCGCCTAATTTTTCTATTTCACTACACGGTAAGGTCTTAGAAAAGGTAGCTTAATTTAACTATTTGGGTGTGGCATTGGACGAAGCACTTTCTTGGAAAGATCACATCGAGTATGTGAGTAGCAAGGTCAGTAGTCAGCTTGGGCTTCTGACTCGTTTACGATCATGTCTCATACTGGTCTGGAATCCTCTAAAAAGGTATATACTTCACTCAGGCAGCCGTGATTTGACTATGCTGATGTCGCCTAAGGTGAAATCTCAGAAAGGATGTTGCAAAGTGCTTCAGCGCTTACAAAACCGTACGGCTCGAGTTATTCTTCGAAGGAAAACTCCAAAAGACACTATCCACGTGCTTAACTGGTTAAGTTTAGCCTGTAAAAGGAAACTGCATAAATGTATTTTAGTTTTTAAGTGCTTAAATAATTTGGTTCCAAAATATCTATCAGTTTTTAGCAAGGAATAGTGCTTTTCATAATCATGCGACTCGAAGAAGAAACGACCTGCCCCATGAGAACTTTAAAGTATGCAGGAACAATCTATTTTAACGCATTACCTGCTTATGTCAAGAGTGCCCCCTCCTTGAGTAATTTGAAAAGTTTGATGATTAAACATTTTTATTTGTAATTTTTATGCTCTAGAAATCTATAAACATTTTATCTATTTCTATATTTTAGCCTTGTAAATGTTATTTAGAGCTTTTATAAGTTTTACTCTAATTTTAAATTTTTCAATTCTACATATCTTTATTACCCAGTGCCCCTGTGGATACCAGCCTCGTTGCTGAATGCGTTACCGTGTTAAAATAAACTCACTTACTTACTAGCTAAGTTTGAAACAGTTAATGAAACGTGCATAAAATTGTGTCTCACCAGTCACACAATGTTCCCATGCGTATTCTTTCGTGCAAAGGCGCACGTAACTTTACGTTTTCTCGTACTGTGCAGCGCATTTCACATTGTTATGACAAACAGATTAACAACAAATAGGGTTTACCTGTACATGTTTTTCCATTCCCAATAAATCCACTTTTACAGGAACAGCTGTAGGAGCCGTTAGTGTTGTGGCAGTATGCATTAACGTCGCAAGGCGGAATGGAAGTACTACACTCTTCAATATCTGAAGGAAAAATGAAATTAAACTTTGGGTAAATTAACAGGAGAATTTCGAAATATACGATAACAGCAGGATAGCGGTAAACAACTAAGATTTGGGGCAGTCTCCTGTTGGCGAAAAGAATTATACCGTCAGTTAAGTTTGAAACGGTCTTATAAATGTACACTTAATTGTGTCTTACCCGTTTCACAATGTTCCCCAGTGTATCACAAGACAAGACAAGACAAGACAACTTTATTTAGCCATGGTGGCCCAGTCAGCTGCGAGGCTGGTATCCTTAGAGGCCCTGGTTTCTATAAAATTTACATATACACATTTCCAATAAAATTACAAAGTTGAATAAAATTTGCGAAGATTAAAAGAGGAGATAAAATCAGATAAAATTTCCTTTAAGAAGGCGTTTAAAAATTTCTAGAGAACTTGCCTATTTGATTTTACTTGGCAGTGAATTAAAGGCTAAACGTCCTAAATTTTTAAAATTTCGCCCTCCAAGAACAAGATTTGTTTTATTTGGGTGAATATTTCTCCTCTGCCTAGTGTTATAATTGTGTACGTCACTGTTAACTTTAAAATAGTTCTTTTTGAAGTATGTAGGAACGTAATTCCGTAAACATTTATATACTAAAATACATTTGTGTATTTTTCGCAGTGTTTCTAAATCTGGCCAATTTACAATATTTCGGGCTGTCCTTGTACTTTTCTGACAGGTGACGATTTTCGCGGCTCGATTTTGTAATCGTTGCAGACTAGTGATGCTGCTCTCGGGTAGTTCACCCCAGGCTGTGTCTGCGTAGCTAAAAATTGGTTCAATAATGCATTTGTATACCGCTTGAGCTGCTTGTAGAGTGAGACTGGAGCGTATTCGTCTGAGGAGACCGAGTCGCTTGGATACTTTCTTGTGAACATCTTCAGCATGTGCTTTCCATTTCAGTTCCTCATCGAGGGTAACGCCCAAGTATGTGAATTTACTGACCATCTCTACATTGGTACCACTTATGATGATGTTAAAGTTTGCGACGGTTTCCAGCCTTTGTCTCGTCCCGAAAAGCATTCCCTTTTGTTTTCTCTGTGTTCAAAACCAGTCGATTTATTTCCATCCAAGTTACAACCCGTTCTAGGTCTTCTTGTAGGGCCTTCTTTATCTCCATTGGGTTTGCACCTGAGCAATTGATGACTGTATCATCAGCATACATACTGATGTGCGTGTTTTTGAGACAGCTTGGCAAGTCATTGCCAGGGATCCCTGTGGAACACCATACCTAATAGGGAGGCTTGATGACAAGTCTTGTCCAAATCGTACTCGTTGTGTACGAGATCCTGGGTAGTTCTGGAACCATGTGAGGCTTTTCCCTCTGGCACCATAGTGCTCTAGCTTCTGTAACAAACAGTTATGGGCAACTAGATCGAATGCCTTCTTTAGGTCAATGAAGACAGAGCCAGTCATTTGTTGTTTATCCATGTGTTCCAAAATCTGATCAATGAGATAAGTCACAGCAGTTTCAGTAGAATGTGCTTTTCGGAATCCAGATTGGTACACTGACAGAACTTCGTTTGCTTCAAGAAATTCACAAGGTGTACTTGGATTGCACGTTCCATAATCTTGGAGACCAGGGGCAACATGGATATTGGCCTATAGTTACTTTCTTATTTTCTTTTGCCGTTCTTGAATATAGGCGTAACTTTCGCTTCTTTGAGTTCTGGTGGAAATTCACCAGTTGAAATAGTCAAATTTATGATGTAAGTAATGGGTTTTGCTATCACAGGAGCTGCATCCTTTAAAATTCTTGCAGACATTCCATCTAGACCAGTGGTTTTCTTTGATTTAAGTCTCTTCAGTTCGTAACAGACAAACTTTTCGTTCACTTCTTCCATAGAAAAGTTCTTGTTTACTCTGGGTGTTTGTGGTTTTATGAAAGTGCTTAGTCGAAAACGTTCACACAGTTTGCCGGCGATGGAAGTGAAGAAATGATTGAACTTTGATGCAGACAAGCTGCTAATTTTGACGCATCGGCAGTTTTCTTGTTTGGCATGATTTATTTCAGGGTTTTCCACATCGTTTTAGGATCTTGGGTTTCAGTTAAGCGAGAAGAATAATAATCCGATTTCGCTTTCTTCATTTTCTTGCTAACATTGTTGCGTAAGCGCTTGTATTTGCTCCAGTGCAGTTCTTGATTTGTTTTGATCGCTTTTTTGTGATGGTAGTCCCTTTCTATCATTAATTCTTTAATACTTGGTGTTAGTCATGGGACTGAAAACCCGCGAACTCTTCGCATGGCAACAGGTGCGTGTTTGTCAGCAACTGACAAAAAAAGATCTTTGAAAACAGTTCAAGCTTCATTAGACGTTGGTTTCATTTCGAGAATATCCCATGGGATCTTATTTAAATCATCACTAAAGACTGCGGGATCGTAGTTTTTGTAATTTCTGCTCTGAATCATTTTCGACGGAGGGCGCTTGATGTTGTGGAGTTTTCTGACTCCGAAGATAGCACAGTGCCTCATCACGGGTTCCAAAACCTCGAAACAGATGAAAGCGCTCGGCCTACGGCCTCGTACTTTCATCTGTTTCTCGGTGTTTGGAACCCGTGATGAAGCACACGCCCTCGTTTTTGACATATTACTTGAAGGTTAGTATGTGTCTTACTTAGTATGCGGGATATCTGTTTCACGTAATTTGAAGTGACTCGCTGGCTAAGAGAGAAATAATGACGATGCATGAGGTTTGACAGCTTAGCAAGTGTCACTTCTATCGTTGCTCCCCTTAAAAAGGATCAACTATCTCTTAAGAGAACTCGTATTATAGTTTGCAACGATTTTGAACACTTTACCGAAGAAGTACAGGCTGCAATTTTTTTCCCTTACTCCTGTG